TTGGGGGGGATGGCGGGGCAGACGAGGAGGAGGAGGAGGAGGAGGAGGAGGAGGAGGAGGAGGGGGCATCTTGAGAGCCTCTGGGGGCACTCTTGGGGCCTCCTGGGAGCTTCCTGGGAGCCTCTAGGAGGGATCTTGGGGGCCTCCTTGAGACTCTTGGGGGCCTTTGGGGGGGTTCTCGGGAGCCTTTTTGACCGTCTTAGGGCATTCCTGGCCCGTCTGACGCCGACGGAAGCCGTCTTGGGGTGCCTCTCTGGGCCGATTTGTGGCCCTCTTGGGGTGCTCCAGCGCCGTCTTGGAGGCCATCTTCGGCGTCTTGGAGGCCTCTTGGGCCGTCTTGGGGCTCTAGGAGGGCCCGTCTTGGAGGCCTCTTGGGCCATCCTGGAGGCCTCTTGGGCGATCTTGGGGGGCTTTTGGGCCGTCTCGGGCCGTCGGCAGAAAAGAAGCAAATGCCAACATACTTCGAAGACCTACGGAACATCAATGATTTTGGCCTCTTCGAGCCTTCCTGGAGGCCCTCTCGGATGCCTCTTGGGCCGTCTTGGGCTATCTTAGGGCCATCTTCCGCCGTCTTGGTGGGCTCCTGGCCCGTCTGACGCCTCCGCGAGCAGTTTGGGGGGCCTCTCTGGTCCGACTTGGAGCCCTCTTGGAATGCTTAAGGCCGTCTTGGAAGCTTTCTTGGACGTCTTAGAGGCCTCTTGGGCCGTCTTTGGGCCCTCTTGGGGCCGTCTTGGGGACCTCTCGGGCCGTTCTGGGGCCATCTTGGAGGCCTCTTGGCCGATCTTGATGCGATCTTTGGGGCCTCTTGGACCGTTTCGGGCCGTCGGAAGTCCGAAACGAAGCACATGCCAACATCCTTCAAACACCTAAGGACAATCAATGATCTTGGCCTCTTCGGGCCTTCCTGGAGGCCCTCTCGGATGCCTCTTGGGCCGTCTTGGGCCATCTTAGAGCCATCTTGGGCCGTCTTGGTGGGCTCCTGGCCCGTCTGACGCGGCCGGAAGCCGTCTTGGGGGCCTCTCTGGGCCGACTTTGGGCCCTCTTTTGGGGTGCTCCAGGGCCGTCTTGGAGGCTTCCTTGGGCGTCTTAGAGGCCTCTTGAGCGTTCTTTGGCCTCTCTTGGGGTCGTCTTGAGGCCCTCTGGGGCAGTCCTGAGGCCATCTTGGAGGCCTCTTGGTCGCTCTGGGGGCAATCTTGGCAGCCTCTTGGGCCGTCTGATGCCATCGAAGGCATAAAATGAGCAAGAACATGTTTCAAATACCTTAGAACATCCATGATTTTGGCCACTTCGGGGCCTCCTGGAGGACCTCTCGGAGGCCTATTGGGCCGTCTTGGAGGCCTCTTGGGCACCTCTTGGGCAGTCTTGGGCCGTCTTGGAGGCTTCTTGGGCGGACTTGGAGGCATCTTGGACCCTCTTGGGCCGTCTTGGAGTGCATCTTGGACCATCTTAGGCGGACTCGGAGGCCATCTTGGGCCATCTTGACCGTCTTGGAGGCATCTTGGAGTCCATTTGGGGCCATCTTGGGCGTGAAAGGCGTTGACTGTAGCATTTTACGCGTGGCTGGCGGGACGGGCCGAAGCCCCAGGGGAGATTTCTTTTTGAAAGCTTACCCAACAACGAAACCGAACGAGTCCAGGACGCCGGGTACCCCTGTGACAAGCACATGGGGCGGCGGATCGAATGGCCTTCGGCCCATCCAGCCACCGTGCCTGAGTTGCGGGTCAGAGTTCTCAGGGATGTTTCTTGGAGTCTCTTCGGGGCGCTCTCGGGGGCCCTTTGGGGTCAGTTTTGGGACCTGTTGGGAGCCTCTTGGGGGCCTCTTGGGGGCCTCTTGAGGGCCTTCTTGGGGCCTCCTGGGGGGCCGTCGGGGCCGAGGGCTCGAAATGTCCGTTGGGGACCCCCTCTTGGAGCCGTCTTTGGGCCAGCTTGGGCCGTCTTGGGCGCCTCTTGGGCCGTCTTGGGCGCCTCTTGGGCCGTCTTGGGACCCTCAGGAGCCTTTTTGGCAATTTTGGGGCGATCTGGGGGGGCCCTCTGGGGCCGTCTTGGAGCATCGGGAAGCCGAAAAGGCGAGAACGCCAAAATCCGCCAGCAACCTGATGGACAACAATTCTTTGTGTTTTTCTTGGGGCCCCCTTTAGGGGGGCATTTTGGGGCGTTTCGGACGCCTCTGGGGCCGTCTTGAGGCCATCTTGAACGTCTTGGGGCGATCGCTCGGCGACTACTCTTGAGGCCATCTTGAACGTCTGGGGCCTTCTTTGAGGCCAGCTTGAGCGTCTTGAAGCCCCTGTTGGACCGTCCTGGGGGCCTCTTAGGGGCCCTCTGGGCCCGTGTTTGGGGCCCTCCTGGGCCCTAAACGCGAGCGAAGCGTCCCGCGATCGCGAAGCAGAAGAAGGAAGCGCCCCACGACTACGAAGTAGAATAACGAATCAAGTAGAACACGAGGAAGGAAGGATAAGCCAGCCCGAGGGTGGTAGGGGAGGGGAAGCAAACCTCGAACCTCTATTCAGCACGCGCAGTGACGAAGCGCACTGGAAGCGCACTCGGTTGAATCAGCGCCAAGCTTAGGGGCCCTCTGGGCTCGTGTTTGGGGCCCTCCTGGGCCCTGAAAAATGCCCTGCGAGGATGCGCGCCGGATCTCCGACACGGCGCGGCAAGCCCAGCGAGAGTTCAGAATCTGGGCGCCGGGCCCCTCCCCGTCCTCCTCCTCCTCCTCCTCCTCCTCCTCCTCCTCCTCCTCCTCCTCCTCCTCCTCCTCCTCCTCCCCCTTCTCCTCGGGTCGCCTGCGGCCCCGGGGGAAACCGTGCAGTATTGAGGCTCTGGGGAGTAGGTCAAGGACCATACACATACTCAGCGAGCGAAGAACGGTATAAAATAATCTGTTTCGCTGTCGGGAGCGCCTGTCCCTGGGCTGCAGGAAAGTTTATACCCTACGGTGGCACCGTAGGGGTATAAACTTTCCAGCCGCCCAGGGACAGGCGCTCCCGACAGCGAAAAAGTTTATTTAATCGCTTCGCTCATTCCGCCGGCCCGTATTGTGCCATCGCAGGCGTTTGCTTGCGCGTTCGTGGCCTCTTGGAGCCTCGGTGGGGCCGTTTGGGGCCTCTTGGCGCCTCTTTTTAGGCCTCTTGGAGAACTCGGGAGGCCTCCAGGGGGCCTCCTGAGCTCTCGTGACGGTCTCTTGGGGGGCTTTCGGCGGGCTCTTGGCGGTATTTGTTGGTCCTCTTGGGGCCTGGGGCCTGACGTTGTTGGTCCTCTTGGGGCCTCACGGGAGCTTATTGGGGCGTCTTGGGGGTGTCTTGGAGAGTCTCTTGGGGCCTCTTTCGGGGTCCTGGGCGCCTTCTGGGGCGGAGGGCTCGATTTTTCAGTTCTCGGTTCCCTTCTTGAGCCCCTCTTGGGCCCGTCTTGGGGCCTCTTGGTCCGCCTTGGGCAGCACTTGGGCCGTCTGGGGGGCGCTCTTGGGCCGCTCCGGGGCCGTCTTGGGAGCCTCGTGGGCCGTCTTGGAGCAGTCTTGAAGGCCTCTTGGGCCCTCTTGGAGCGTCCGGAAGCGAAAAGGCCAGAACGCAAAAAAACATAGAAAAAACAATGAAAATCAACGATTTTGGCAACTTGGGGCCCTCTTCGGAGGCCTCTTGGAAGGCCCTTGGAGCGTCTTGGAGGCCTCTTGGGCTGTCTTGGGGCCATCTGGGGCGTCTTCGGGCGATCTTTGGCCGTCTCGGGCCTCTCTTGGACCGTCTAGAAAGCTTCTCGGGGCCCTCTTGGACCGATCTGGAGCCCTCTTGGACTCCGAAACAGAACTCCGGCATCTCTGACCCGACCTTGCCGGGACCTTGCCGGGGTACTTTTCGCCCGGGGACCCCCAGGGGCCGCCCCGCGCGCGCGAACTAGAAATACTGTTAACCAGGTACCGGAGATCTTAGCACGCCCTGGCCCGTTGGGCCAGCGAATTTTATACCGTTCTTCGCCCCTTAACATATGTACGTAGCACCGCGCAGTCGCGGATAAGAGTGAAGGAGCGGCGGGGGCGTCGGCAGTCTGCGAGGCTCCAAAGACGCCCGCCACAGGCGCCTCATTTTCACACATTATGCAACGAGCCCGCCGCAGGCGCTGATTCTTCGTTGAAGCAACGTGGGTGGGTCGCAGGGTGGGTCGCGGGTGGGTCGCAGGCCGTGTCGCGGGTGGGTCGCGGGTGGGTCGCGGGTGGGTCGCGGGCGTGTCGCAGGGTGGGTCGTGGGGTGGTCGCAGGTGTGTCGCAGGCGGGTCGCGGGGTGGGTCGCGGAAACGTCGCGGGTGGGTCGCAGGCGGGTCTCGGGTGGGTCGCGGGTGGGTCGCGGGCCGGGTCGCGGGGGTGACGACGCCAAACAACAAACAAGCAAACAAACCAGTAACTAAACAAATCAACAAACAATTAACCAACAAACAACAAACAAACACACAACCAAGCAAACAAAATAACAAGCAAACGAACGAACAATCGCAACAACAACATACACAACATAAGCAATAACATCAAAAACACCACCACCAACCTCAACAACCACAACAATAACAACAACCACCACCACAACCACCACCATTACCACAACAACAACAACAACAACAACAACAACGAGAATCCGAATCGCGGAATCCCACTTCAGCCACGCACCCAAGGACTGTGCGTGACCGCTCGCCCCCTTCATTTTGATCTGTATATATATATATGGATACACGTGTGTATAGATTCACACACACACACACATATATATATATATATATACACACACCCTCTTTCTCTATCGCTCCCTACCTCTCCCTCTTTCTCTCTCTGTCCGTGGTAAAAAAACAGGCCTAATCCAGCAGAGTCCCACTTGATTCCGCTCAATCTGGTCAATCCAACTTAATCCTGGGCTCTCTCCGGGCGTGTGCGGCTCAGTGGCCTCCTGATCGGGCTCAGTTGCCATGAGTCGTTCTCGGGAGTACTTCCCAGAAGCTGCCCCCTAACTGCTGCTCCGCTCCGCCAGGAGTCCCGAGCGGGGGCAGTGGTGGCGGCGGTCGTGTACGAGCTGGCCCAGCCCCGCTCGGGCTGGTCCGTCTGGTTCCGGAGCTGAAGAGGCCGCTGAGCCTGTCGCGGCCGCGGCGGCTTGCGCGTGGACGAGGGCCAAAGGGGGCGACTGCCACGCGGCTTCGGCCCTCCATCTCCCGCCCAACGAGCAGAAAAAGGGCTGCACAGGCATAGCCTGCCGGATCGGAGGGCCATCGGGCCCAGACCTGCTCGCGTCGCGGAGCCAGGGTGACGGGAGGCTTTTTGCCCGTGGTCCGCCTCCAGGAGGCTCTCGCCCGGCCCTGGGGCCTTGACACGAGCAGTCCGAGAGGAAAGACTGGCCCTGGTCGTGCAGGCCACGCCTCGGCATCGTCCAGTCGGGCGTGTCCCTCTACGGGAGGAAGATTCAAACAGAGTTAAAAAAAAGTCGTCTGGGGACTATCCGTTTGAGCCATTTGAATTTGAGTCTTTCCCTCACGAGAGGATCTCGGGCCCCCCGCATGGAGCACACCACGGCGCCGGCTGCCAGGGGAGCCCCCCTCCCTGCGAAGTCGATCCACGAGCTGCCCCCGTGCGCCAGCTCTCCGTGTATGTTGTTGCGTGCCTGCGCCCGCCGAGGTTGCCCTGCCTCGTTCTCGTTGCTGCACGGGGTGCCGCATTGGCTGGCCGCCCTGGCCGCCCCACGGCGACGCACATCGCCACGGGAGCGCCCTGCCCTCCCCCTCCTCCTCCTCCTCCTCCTCCTCCTCCTCCCTCCTCCTCCTCCTCCTCCTCCTCCTCCTCCTCCTCCTCCTCCTCTTATCTCATCGTATCTCCCTCCTCCTCCTCCTTCTCCCTCCTCCTCATAGTCCTCCTCCTCCTCCTCCTCCTCCTCCTCCTCCTCCTCCTCCTCCTCCTCCTCCTCCTCATAGTCCTCCTCCTCATAGTCGTCCTCCTCCTCCTCCTCCTCCTCCTCCTCCTCCTCCTCCTCCTCCTCCTCCTCCCCTCCTCCCCTTCGGCCGCTCTCGCCTGTCTCTCTCTCTTCCTGCCGCCGGTCAGGCTGTGCTTCCCGTGGCCCGGGCCGCCAGAGCGCGCGTGCGGGCCGCCTCTGCCGCGCTGCGACGCGCAAAGTTTTGCTGAGGGGCCTGCGTCCACCCCCGACTGGGCGCCCGCGCAGATGCCTCGGGTCGGAGCCAGCGCTCCCCTCCGATCTTCGAGCCCTGGATCGCAGAGAGGTCGGACGGGGCCAGGACGAGGGCGAATCCGATCCACGGTGTGCTCGAACGCCCTCTCAGAGCGTTGCGGCACGCTCTGAGAGGGCCGCGGCGCCCAAGGCGTTCTCCAGAGCCGCAGGAGCCCCCTGGCGGCGCCTTCGGTGCCGCCCCCGGCCAGCTCCGCGAGCTGGGGCGGGCGTGTGGGGGGCGCTGCCCCTGGCGAGCTCCGCGAGCTGGGGCGGGTGTGTGGGGAATGGGGAGTGTCGGAGCCGACCCGAGACATCTGCGCGGATCTCCGAGTGTTCGCGTCAATGCAGTTGCTCGAGCTCTTCCTCGTCGCCTTGGTGCCCAGCTCGTCGTGTCTCGTGTTTGGTGGGCCGGAGATTAGGCCTCCCACGGGGTGTATGAGTAGATGGGGTCGAAGGATCGCGCCGCATCGCCGATGCATCGGCGACGCGGCATGATCTGGAGCCCGATTCTCTCCACGCCGACTTCACCGATGCATCGCCGACGTCGCCGACGCTTCGGCGATGATTCGGCGATGCGGCACGATCCACCGCGACCCCATCTTGGAGACCTCTAAGGGGGCCTCTCGGGCCATCTTGGGCCATCCTGGAGCCATCTTGGGCCGTCTGGGTGGGCTCCTGGCCCGTCCGACGCGGTCGGAGGCCGTCTTGGGGGCCTCTCCGGGCCGACTTGGGGCTCCGACTCTGCCTGGGAGGCCTCTACGTTTGGAGAGCCTGACCGCGTGCTGCCTCCTCCTCCTCTTCCTCCTCCTCCTCCTCCTCCTCCTCTTCCTCCTCCTCCTCCTCCTCCTCCTTTGCCCTCGTCCGAGCACCGGGCGCGGCTTCCACTGTGCCACGCATGTTGCGTTCCCAAACGGCGCGTCACGGATACTGCTTCTTCTGCTCCCCCTCCTCCTCCTCCTCCTCCTCCTCCTCCTCCTCCTCCTCCTCCTCCTCCTCCTCCTCCTCCCCCTCCTCCTCCTCCTCCTCCTCCTCCTCGGTGTTGCAATGCTTTCGCGCCAGGCGCCTTCGCCCAGTTGCGGGCCCCAGGACCACCAAAGGTCGGTGCGGCTCGGAAGAGCAAGGCGTGCGAGAGGTGATGGGGTATGGCTGCGGTCGTGATGTTCTGTGATGTAGCGTTTTTTCGCTATGTTGGATCACACGGGAGGCCCAGAGGGTGTCGGGGCTGGACAGAACCCCCAATAGTGACACGTCGATTAGTGAATTGTCCGTTTTCGGTTCTCGAGAGGGCGCCGTGGCCGTCAGTTTCCAGGCTTTCGCCCGCCAGATTTGGGCCCGAGGTCGTTTTCACTAAACCACGTTTTGCTAAAGGGGGTTCTGTCCATCCCCGAGGGTGGCGCCAATACCAGAATCGGCGGTTGTTTCCGCCGAGGGGAGAGGATCGTAATCTCCCGGTGACGGTGGTAATACTCGACCTGTTCAGGTGGCCGAGGGGCTATTACCAGCCACCACCACCACCGAAATCCAGGATCATCTTCCAATGGTGGAGACACTCTTCTGTGTTGGTGTTAGGTGGCAATGTCCAGGCCCCCAAAAGGGGTTTTGCAAGAACAGTTGTCAAACAAACACATGCGTAAGCACAACTTCTTGGAGTCTCGCGTGGGTTCTTGGGGTCGGCTCTTAGGTCCGCGCTAGCCCCCCCCCCCCCCCACTTGCGGCGTTTCCAGCGCCCCTGGCGCGCTTCGCGCGCCAGGGATGGGGGGCCCAGCGCCGACCCAAAACATTTGCGCAGACCTCCGAAAGTGTATGCTCACGCCGTCTGTCTGCTCTGCTCATGAGGGAGGAGGGGTCTTTGAGGAAAAGGTCCTGGAGATGTTTCGCCGTCTGCGGGCAACAGGGGGCCCGCTCGGGCTCAGGACCGTCAGGCAGCGGCTCGGTATCAAAAGCGGTTTCCAGGGATTGTTCCGAGGTGCAGGATATATGTTCCACCAGGATCCTTCCCCCTAGTGCCAAACAGCAGGGCAGGATTAGGGGGCAGCCTTCAAAGAACCCCCCCGCTTTCATAGGCCCCTACAGGGATTCACTTCCACTGAGGGAAGTGCCCCGTTGGGAGACAACCATTTGAAGATGAAGTGTGCAGGGGCACCATTCTCGGGACTCCACACGAACCAACATGATTGTTGTGCACTGACGATCGCGAATCGTGGCAGAACGCCTTCCTGGGTTTTCAGCACCGCGAATCAACGTAACTGTTCCGCCTTAAACAATCTTGAGTGAATTTAAAAGCCATGTTTGGTACGTTACCCATGGGAGTCCGTGAAACGTTGGTATCTTGTTTACATCGAGCGTGCGCGCCGCTAAGGCGAGAGCAACACTTTGAAAAGGAACCGCCTTCCAGATGTGAATATCATGCAGTTTGCTCAACGAATGTGCGCGGCGCTAGGGCGAGAGCCACATGTGGAACAGGATCTAACTGCCCCCCATCTGCCAAGCTCTTGCAATGTTTCACCCGGCGCTGAGGCAAGGGCCGCATGTTGAAAACGGTCCGCCCTCGATCCGCAAAACTCTGGCTGAGTTTTGAGACGACTTTGCGCAGCGCTAAGGTGAGAGGCGCATGTTTCAGGAGGGAACAAAGCACACACAGACACAATTGATCGTCGATTCCACAGACAATATGGGAAGCTGGGGGGAAGACAAAATCCCAGAAAGTATGGGCAAATATTGGGAATCGTGTTATTTGTGTGTATTGATTTGTGTGGCCCAGGGCCCCTTCAAAATGGGAAGTCTCGAGCCGAACGCCCGCCCCGCTCTTCAGACTGGCCTCGGGGTGCGACAGGGAATATTTGTTCTATAAGGAGCAGGAATGGACGAGGAGGGGGAGGATGAGGAGGAGGGGGAAACGAAGGAGGGGGATTGTTGTTAACATCCACGCGACTGCAGCCCACGTACACCCTCAGAGGTGGGCGAGTCCACTGGGGGGTGACAACGAGCTCCACAACAAACTGCACAGTGGAGCCGAGTCAAAGGAGCCGAGCGGCTCGCGGAGGGGGAGCAGTCAGAGGAGAAGGATGAGAAGAAGGCCGTGTAGAACCCAATGTGCACCAACGCTGTTGCGAGAGACTTTCTCTCCAAGTTCCCTCTTGGAAGGGCCTTGCAATAATGTATTGTCATTGCCCCATCGGGCGACGATTGTCTGAGAATCTCTTCAGCCGTGCCGAAACACCATTCTTGGAACGTCAGCGCCGCGAAGCAACGTGACAACTGCGGCCTGGCAGTCCGAAATCACGCCAGAACACGATTCCTGGGACTTCAATGCAGCGAATCACTGTCAAAGTTGCTCCATGGCCATCCTAAATGCTGCCAGAACGCAGCTCCTGTGGCTTCCACCATGCGAGCCCCTAAAAGCTCATGCGAACTTGTGAGTCGAATGTGCGCGGCGTTGTCGCGGGAGCCATATTTTGAAAGGGAGCCGCCCTTAATCCTTGCATCTGTCGCGAACCTTTACGACGCATGCGCGCGGCGCTAAGGCGAAAACCACGTTCTGGAAACGAGCCGCCCTCCAATCTTGAAGCTGCTGCGGATTTCAAGCTCCAGGGTCCGGGATGGTGAGGAAGTCCGAAGCGCAACTCCCGGCCCGCCTTACCGACACAGCGACGGAGGAGGAAGAGGAGGAGGTCCGGCCGCCGGCGAAGGAGCTCGTTGGCCTCCGCACGGCTGAGCTCCGGGCGGTCTGCCGCGGGAGGCTGCGCGCTGCCGCCGAAAGTGCTTTCGGCACACCTGCGCTGGAGCTGGAGGCTGGACCCAGCGGCGGTGGTGATGATCGCGCCGCTGTGGCAGGCTGCGAAATCCCTCTGGCACGGCCGGTTCCCCCCGAGCTATGGAGGCAGACCGCCATCGCCTTGGCCGCG